CGAACGGAGGAGGACGTTTATTTTCACGACCGATACACAAAACGGGTCGTATTTTACGGCGATGCAGCTACTTGGAGTTCGACGAACCTCGTCCAGGCAGTCATGGTTAACAAACTTGTTAAATCCCGCTTTCACCTCCATTCAGATAAAATGTCGATGTGTCGTTGAGCGAATTACGAGGGTTTGCGGTCAATGGGCGATCGAAATTGCCAAAACGCGCGTGACGGGCTACGTTTATACGACAGAACTGGAATACTTAAGAAGGGATATCATATTTCAGATGCAGAAGAATGCTAATATCCGAGAATTTTCATTGGCGGTACCAAATGTATAATATGTTAGGTGTACAAATTGACTCTCGACCTATTTCAGCTGAATTCAATATTTATTCAGAAAAAAATCAATTCAGGCATGCGTAGAACGTTGTCTTGCAAGCTTCTTTCTACTGCTTATAAATTCTTTTTTTCTTAAGAGCGTCATTTACAGGAATCTCCTGTTTAGAGTAGAGTTTAGAAGTGACGGTCTGATCGAATAGGAGCTGCTCATAATAGATAGCGCCCTTCTGACCTCAACAAATGCACTACATCTTCTTGTGCGGATATTCGGTTTTAGGATGGACCTATGATTATTGCCTTTTAAATTATCTCCGCTGTTCAAATGCGAAAGAAGTGCAAAAAGAAGGTAGAAGTACTTTAAATGGTGTTTTTGAATGTCATCGCGTCTACAGCTGATTTTTCAGATGAATGTTGCCATCGAGTACCATAGGGAGAACAAATTATTCCAGCTTTTTGACTATCGAACGTAGATCTAGATAAGCAATTTTATAATACATTTATAAGTTATGAAATCGAACTGAAGATCCGCAGCCTCCCGTGCATCTACTTGTCGGAAATAAGAGCGGTAACTACTATACAATAGATGGTATGATAATGGGCAATCATTGTACCTCGATAAAGAATGCACTCAAGAACGCCACTACATACAAACAATTGATGAATTGTTGACGCCTAGTGTGAACTCAGCGTTAGGCCGTTCTCTCAACTAAACGATGCGACCGCAACACGATTGAGAAAAAAGTCACGAGTGAGAATCACGTTCCAAGCAACTGTCATGAGGCAACTGGCGTGACCGATTACCGATCGATCGGTTGTTTCGACATTGCTTCGTAGATGCGTTGGTAGAAGAAGTAGGTATACATTGCAAATGCATATGCGACTGCCAAGTGATAATTTTTTTCTTTCGCGTAACAGTCGCGTCCTTCAGGTGGGAAATCTACTCTAAAACTTCTTCGGCACATCTTTGTTAACCTTTTACTCTAGAGAGTCGATTTTCAATCAGTTTTTATGCATTTAGACTTTTTTGATATTCTAAGAACTCTTAGAAAAACATCATTAAGTGAACAATAATTATTAGTTACATTATTTTAAAGTTTATTGGACATAAATATCCTCTCAAATATATTTAATATAATATTTATTTATATAATGATATAATTATGGTAATATATTAAATATATAAAACTCTGTAGGATCTTTTCATTCCTTAACATATTGCTGACCGATCACGAGTATTCTTCTATGACCTAACATTGCTCATAGGTCACGAATTAACTTGTTTGCGCTTATATTAGTTTATGCAGTTTTCAAGCCTGCAAACAATATAGTCTAGATAGATTTACTTAATTTTTGACTAAAATTTCAAAAAGTGTACAATATCCGTTCTTCTCCCATCTTAAAGATTTATCTACGGGATTATGAGGAAAGTTGAAACACTATATTTACATACAAAAAATAAGAATACGTGGGAATAAATTCGACTAGAGTATAAAATATGCTCTTCCAAAGAAAAGTCCAGCGAAATGGATATATTTAGAAAACTTGTTGTATACTAATATAAATCTGTATTGTATACCAAAGTCGAGAAGAAGATTGTGTATATACAATTTTATACAAGATTGTGTATGTAAAGAAACGTTGTTAAAAATTATTTAAATGTATTGATTTTTTATTCACTTATGAAATAATAGCCGACTGCACGAGATAGTTTTGGCTTCAAGTAACCGGTCAGCAAAGTGTTGAGCAGTTTAACAAAAAATTAAATAAAATAACAGTTTATTGCTTATAGTACCTTTGCACAATCATAACAATTCTATTATATAACAATTTCAACGATTATCGATGACTCTAGAACGACTTAACAACGCCAATGAATGAAAATACATACAAAATTCTCAACCACTCGGCGCGGCGCGCCAAGCTTTTGAATTTCCAAAAGGGTTCGAGGTTTCCGAGCCTCATGCAATTCTTGGAGTATTCATTCTGCGCGTGGTTTTGTTTTTCATCAAGCTTGGCGCATACAACGCGCCAGGATGACAAATCGGTGCGCCGACAACGCGGTTGCTCGCAATATCCATCCACTGACCGCAAACCTCGTATTTCATAACGCGATACGATGCGACGTGTCGTCCGCTAGCGCGTCTACCGTTGGAGCTGACTTTTCTCTTTCCACTGGACATCGCTAGCGACAATGACTCACGGCGACCGCGTTCGCCATTCCAGGCAGAAAATACGCCGCAAATGCCGTAACAGCATCCCCGTATGGGTAGACAATTTATTAATTGTCCCTCGCCGCGCATCGACCGCCATTCGTCGTCTCCCCCTCGCGCGAATCTCCATCGTCGAGGTCTTTCTCGCCCGTGGCTCTTTTGCGGCGCCCGATTCGGCAGATCCGTTGTGATTTTAGAGAAGGTACCAAAAATCCTCACTCAAAATGCATCGAGAGGGTTAGGCCTTGCTTAGGGTTGTTGTTGCATTGAGCTTCATCAGTTGGGTAAAAAGCAAAAGAGAAAGTCCTCGAAATGCAAGAGGCTAGAGTTAAATAGGGCTTCGATGACCATGGTTCGATGAATTGGATAACAACGAGGAGGCTAGTTCTATAAAGTCCAATATCCTTTTGGTACTGGTGAGGAAGACTGATTCACAGTTTATAATCTTCGGGTCAAAGAGATTTTCAATAAATGCTTGTCAGTTGGTGCTATGTACCGAAATATATTTATTATATCGACAATCGACGATACTGAAATATTTCGTTTTCTTCAGAGAGCCAATCACTGAAGTCGATCCGAATAGAGACAGCGAGACAAGCAATTAGCACATTTTTTCTTCAAAACACACAACCTGGAGAGCAAATTCCAAGCAATCACGGAGCAAACGCAAGTGGGAGAGTTGAAAAATGGCAGAGTATAGTGCGTTTATCCCTCGATTGGCCCTAATCAGTCAAAATGTATAAAAAGTGCATACGATAAATTTTCTCGTTCATGTTGCATACTGTACTATTAAGTTGTTGCATGTAAAATGTCCGATTTTTCAGTTTCCAGATATTATCTTCGTTTTGTTTAGGGAATTTAGGGAATGAATTCTGCTCCTTTTAAAACTCTATTGTTTAAGGATAATGTACCTATCAAAAACGCCATCAAAGAATTCATCACCACCAAAAATAAAAATATTTATAAAAACGGAATAAATACCTTTGTGCATCGTTAGCAGAAGTACAATGAATAGTGATTACACGTTGATCAATAAAGGTAATTATAACAAAAATACAGATGTTTATATCTGTTCTAGAAAATGGCGTTTCGTCTTCTTCACGCCACAAATTATCTTTACCTTCCTAATATATAAGAGCTTATTACATTATTTGAATATAGTATCAAATGTATCGAGAGGTGCAAACTGTTCCAAACTCTGTACAAATGTATCAAAATTTGGCAGCTCTGGTTTAGAGTCCCTGCCAGTGCGAACGGTCCAGTTGCTCTCTCCCGTTTTCCGCGCCAGGTACCGTGAAAACTCGCCTAATCTCTCGTTTCACAATACGTGGCCAGCGCGATACACATCAAGCGTGATAAAACGCACCCCGACGAACGACGAAGCGCCTCTCGACGTATTATTAGATGCTCCGCGCATTTAATTACGGGATTTGTTACACCGGGCGAAGTTGACGTTAACGTTTGCGGGAACGTAGCCAAAAAAAGGGAGTCTGCAATCAGTCTGGCAGGTATATATAGGGGCGGACGGAAGTACTGCGGATTCGTTGGAAATAACAGAGTAACATTAATCGAGAGTGGTGTGAGTCAGACACCACGTGGTCTTCGGGTATTTTACTGTGAAGGTTCGAGTCTGCTGCTAATTATATGTCGGTCAGGGGCTGTCCTATTCTACTTAAAATGTCCGATCAGGTACGACTATTAATCTCCTATTCTACTTAAAGTGTATACCCCCATCCATAAGTATGTGGACACGTCTTCCACTAGAATAAAAGTTATGAATTTATTAACGAATATTACTTATGTTTATGCATTTAGTATGTATTGCATTAGAGACCATGTTTTATCAATAATTTATTCAATGTTTCTCCAGTAATAATAAAAAAAATATACAATTTTCTTTCCATTAATGTGTTCCCCACGTGTTCTTAAAACTTCTTACACCAATTTTGACAGCCTAGCTATTAGGACCTTCATTATATCCAAAGTAATATCATATAATATTCTTTCCGAACATTTTCATTTAAATATTCACACACTTTCTCTACGAGATCGAATTTGCCACTCAATATTAGACGATTTAATATTGTTATTTGTCACTAAATCCGCGCCTGACATGCGATTTAGCAACAGAAAATTCTATTGTAATAATTTCTACATTATGAATTTTACAGTATAGTCTAGATTATAATATACAAGTGTATTGTATAATGAAGAAGATTTTACTGTTACTAGTCAGATCCGTTAACCAGCTCTTTATCTTCGCCTAGTATGTAAGCTGCAACTGGTCAGACATTTTAAGTAGTACGAGACTACTCAGGCCAGACGTTTTAAGTAGAATAAGACTCCGAAACCGTGCCACGAATAATCCAAGGTAGATGATAAGCGAAATGTTGCATTTCGGTAATCCAGGGTCGCAAAACGTTTGAAAACAGAACACAAAGACTTTTTTACTCACCCATCGATGTGGTCCGAACTGTTTTTTACAGGTCCGTTGGCGAACTCTGGCGGAGGGTCCGGCGTGTTGGGGCTCATGGGACTGATGGGTCTTCTCGAGTTCTCCCCGAGGATGTCTTCGAAGTCGACCACAGGCGCCACGCCTCTCACGGATGCCTTCCTAACCAGAGACGGCGAGGAAAGTTTCTGATGTTTGATCATGTCCGTGGTGGCGCCGTACGAAAACGGTTGACTGGTTTGCCGGGCGTGATAGGGGATGTCCTCGTCGATATAATCGATGTTCCCAGGCGGCGAGAACGAGTCCGCGTGCTTTCTGTACGAATCGTTCGAGGACTCAGAGATTTTTCGATCAGGCGACACGCGATACTCGTACTCCTCTCTTCGGTGCTCGATCTTGGCTGGCTCCCGATACTCGTTCTTCAATGTGCTGTAATTGCTGCTCGAATTGTAGGGTGGACTGGACTCTTTCCCGGTCCCGTAGCCTCTGTACGAGTCTTTCAGGGTGGAATACGTCGAAGTGGGGTGACTGCTCGTGTAGCTGCGAGTTTCCTGAATGTACATTTTCTCGCTTCTGTCCGTTCTATAGTCCTCTGACGGAGGATCTGGCATCGACTGCGTGAACACCGAACAAACATACATCCTTATACCGTCTTTATAATCTTTAGTGTGTTTAGAGAGGGAGGTTTTAAGTGAGGACTTGGAAAAAGCTATTCGAAATGGATAAATTTTCGGTTGTTCTGGGATGTTGATCAGAGATAATCAATATCTTACTTGGATGGATACTTTGATTAATAAAAGGATGGGAAATATTTGGGGTGAAAAGAATTGAGGGTTCGAGGAATATGTAACTTTAACCAAACTTTATAATTATTATTTTCACATCTGCATTTGGGGGATTCAGAAAAATATCTTACACCATGATTTCATATAAAAATGATTATCTACATATATCTAATAATGACGTTGATTTTAAAACTGACCGTAAAACATTATTCCGAAACCGAATGTCTAATTCTATCTCAGATTTATATTAGAAATTGTTAAACAAGGATTAAGAATTCTAGATGAAGATCAACATAAAAGCCTGAATCATATTAGACTACTCTGTAATTAATTACAGTAGATCTTTCTTCTCGTAACAGGATAAATCCTCGTTCACAAAAGAAATCTTTTATAGGAGAGATATTTTTATAGTGGATCATACAATAACAAACAGAACGTACCTCAACAGTGCGCATCATATCATGGAGGAGCTTGTCGAGATCACCATGAACCTGGTTATCCGGCTCTGCCTCTGGTGGACTAGGTCGCTGTGGTGGAGCGCTGCTGATGCCGCTGTCCATGGAAACTGTCAATGGTGAGCCACGGGCACCACCGGCAGCACCCTGGTGTACCACAGCGTACAGAGATCCATCTATGGGACCGCAGGTGTAACCCAATCCACGAGGTGACGTCTGGACGGAGGAGCTCGAAGGTGGTGGCGGTGATAATGGTGTTTCCCGTCCTTCTGAATAAAAATTTCACGATCAGATTAAATTACTCACAGACAAATGCTATACAGGGCATGTACAAATACAACTTTTTCTGTAAACAGGATTCTTGGACTTAATCAATCGACGCTTTACGTTTCTTCCTCGTGAAATACTTTAAGTGGATAATTTAGTGTAGTGTTATTTTTTTAGGTATTCTCTTAGATTTTTTTTTTTTTTTTTTTAATCCATAAGCAGTTTGTTCATGAGGTATTGCACACGAATTTAATTATATTGTAATAATATACATAATATATTCTTAATAAAAATGAGCAAAATTAAACCTAATACAAATGGTCTTGTACAGTCCATTTAAAAAAAAGCATGATCATGATTGCCACTTTAATGACCGTTCTTCTTTCCCGACATGAAAAAATTAAGAAACATATTTATTAGGGTCAGTATCATAATGGCTCGAACCAGAATAATTAAAAAATGTTGATCATTGAAAAACTTGGAACATTACACACCTCGGACATTGACTATTTACGTTCTTTTTTTTCATCTTTAGCGTGCTGAAAGAAATTGAAAAAAAGGCACATATACTGAAACTTTATTCCGTATTTCACGTAATTCGGTTAACTAGAATTCGAGATACACAGATAACCATTTGAAAAATAAGGTTACGAGAAAATCGAGTTAAAGTTTTATATGCCAGATAAGTACCTATGTTTCTACAAATACTGTTCTCTTTAAACGATAGAAAAAGTGTTTTTTACAGAAGAACACCTTTCAAAAGCCGCTTGACTACGCTGCGACTATTTTTTGTATACGCAAAGAGTTTAACTTTTCCTAGTTCAGAATACTCGTCCTTGAAGTGTTAAGTAGCGTAATCGCGTAATTCTCTGCAAGCATCGTGTAACAAAGAAACTCGTTAGGAAGGAACAATCGATTGTAAATTATTGACCGATGAACCTTCACGAATTAATTGCAAGGAAGAGGTTAACAACCGTTCGTTCTATATATCGTCTTTTCTCCTTCGAAAACGTCGCGGCAATTTAACGCTAATCCGTGTTGTTATGTCGCGCTTGAATAATTCACGCTCAGGCAGCTGATGTAATCCTTGGAGTAGGTTATCCGTCGTACGAGGTTGAAGAAAGTCGAAGTTCACGCCCCATGGTGAAAGAATTCGCGCGACGACGCTTGCTAACGACCGATTCAGGATTTTACCTGGATTTACAGAAATCCCCTATCACAGAACGCGACGTCCATCGTAAAATGTGATCCTGAGAACGGTCTTTTCGCTTAAGAACCGCTGAGATATTAAGTGTAGAAATTAATCATATGCCTTTACATATTATAATATTCAACCATTTGCAACTTGAACAATAAATCAAATAGAAATATTTTGTCGCCATTATGTTACGTTAAAGTACCAACCTTCGTAGCAATGAAACACCCGACAATTCGTTTAAAACAAAAGATATAACGTCGTAACACTGATAAACACGATGGCGCCTGATAAGACCCGTGTTTAACATTATACAGGGTGGGCCAAGTAAGTGTGACAAGTCATAACTTCATTACTAGAACTGTTAGAGAAAAATGTCAAAAGAAGATTAGTGGTTCAAAGTGTACTATTTTTTTTTAATGCACTGGTGCATGTGCATTCGACAATTGCATTATTTTTATTTAACCAAGATGCATATTTTTCTTTGAATATTGTTTCAATCTTTTCGGTCTTCAACGTAAACAAGTGTGAACCTAAAATTAACAAAATAATTAGTTCGCGAGATATTTTAAATATTTGTCTTTACCAAGAAGATGGTTAAACGCTTCTCCATTACATTCTACATATTTTATACGCAGCTTTTTTATTGTCTTTGCAATTTGTAAACGTTAAATCATCTTTTGAATCGTTTTTTGTAAATGGAATCGCACAATAAACATTGAGATAAGAAAGCAATGTGCAACAGTAACCAGAGGTCACCTTAATTCTACAACGAACACAATTAAAAAGTACTGTATGAAATGTGTAGAATGTAATGGAAAACTGTTCGAGCATTTTCTTCAATTAAAATACTTATTCAGTTACCACTTTAGCTTAATACTCTTTTACGTAGAATAACGAAGGGATTGAGTCTATGCAAAAATAGATATGCATTTCTATTTAAAAAATAATGTGGTTCTGTAAATACAGTACTTTTTATACCATTCATCTTCTTCGTTTTACATTTTTCTTTCACAGCACTAGTAATGGAGTTATCACTTGTTCCACTTACCTGATCAACCTTGTATATCTTTTGCTTTTCAATTAAAGAAGAATGTTAGTGGAATCCCAAAAATGAGTTCTTCGACTTTGGGTGACAGTGCAGTGACACTTACAACCGGTAAAAGATGGTTCCGGACAACCAACCAAATTTGAGGGCGTAGAACTGGAGCGAATGGAAATCGGTATAAAAGTTTCTGATGAACCCAGAGACAAAGGCAAGGACGTAAAAATGTGAAGGACACCGGGTAGATGCATCAGAGTCCCAACGAGTAGATCTCATCTGAATTGAATCCGTGCCGCGCGGCGCTATCTGGTCGACGTATCGCGGCAGGTATAAATCATTTTTATTCGAGCGTTTCTCGCCGATTCTATTCGCGAGCCAGAGGCAGCCTCGTCAATGACGGCCAATCTCGGCAGATGGAACGCATTTAACACCCGCACGCAAACACACGCATACACGCATGCTCGAACATAGCCGCTAACGGCGAGGCCTGTTGCAGTTTGCCGACCGTCGATCGAGATCAGCAGATTATTGCCAACGCGTACACAGCCTCTTTCGGAGGCCGACGAGGAGAGGAATCTAAATGGCGTCGAGTGCCACGGCCATCGAATAAGCGTCGCGGAGAGTACCCGACGACGCAGTAAATCCAGCGAATATTTGCGAAAGACGATAAGCAGGGAGCTGTTATAACACTGATACCTTTATCGCCAGGCACGACTTCGGTCGCGGGATACATACAACTCGCACCTGAGAGAAATTTCATTATGCACGGTTTTAAACACGAGGAAAAAATTCCGTTCATTCCTTACTTAATAGATATTAACCGAGAAGCAAAGAATGACAATTATATCGCAAGATTATTCCATTTACGGTATTTCCAAATAGGACCAGAACAGGAGGAATTCCATGGCAGATATAAAATTATTGTACATATCCTTTCGATTAATCTAACATAAGGAAATTTATACATGGGAAGTCTACATTTGTCCTTACGTGTGTATTTTATATTTTTTCATTCACGCTTACTAATATTGCATACATGTAAAATTTTCGTTTCGTATCTGTTACATATTTCTACAATTTATATATTTGCTTTTTTTTTTTAAATTTAGAATAAACAATTTTTGATTTTCTATCATTGAAGCACTTGTCATCGCCGTCTTATATTAGTGGTTATATCACTATTTCCGAGACACCTTGTGTATTCGAATATGGCTTTTCTATTTCCCTGAATCGTTAGCCTTCTTCGTTGCGCCGATACTCTACTCTGAACCGAGGCAGGTAGGAGATTATATAGTCAAAAACATCGTTCTCGTCATTCGTTGATGTGAACGAAGACGAAATACAGTATTTCAAACTAATTGGGCGCCACCTACAAAGGGACCACCCCGAATATTTTCACGGAATGAAATCCGCCCCAGGGCAGAATTTGGAAGTTCAGTGGATCTAATGGACGGGGGTTCTCATCGACGTCAAGTGAAGGAGAACCCTTCGGGGAAGCTGCTGCATCCTCGACTTATGTGTTTGGAGACGACCATTAAAGTATCTCAAACGTCTCGAGTCAGAACGCCGCTTAGGTTCGAACAGGATCAGGTTTAGTTAGCTTACTCTTAAGAGGAATATTATCCAATTACATGGAACACAATTGCGTTTCGCTTGAAATACGTTGTTAAACGTCAAATGAAATATTAAACTTTAATGGCCTTGTTTACAGTTACATATGGCCTGTTGCTATTATGATAAACATCACGTTTCGACCAAATTCTTATGGTCTTTCTCTGATGTTCAACTAATTGCATGCAAAATTTTCAATGAAGTACATTCTATATGCAGAAAATTGTACTTATTCTCGTTGAAGCTGGGGGGATCGATTGTTACTGTTAGAGGATAAAGAAGGAAAATATTATTGGAAAAATGTGAAAGATAAGAGAAACTTACTTCTGTAGTTGACCATTTATCAAGCACTAAAATTTGCAGCGAGCAAGTTATTCTATTTGTACATAAACTCAAATTTCAGAGATGGAACAGCGGTTAACTAACGATCATCTTAGCCTCCATCAATTTCGAATATTTCACGAACGAAGTAAAAAAGAAATATATTCAAGTAAACAGTTGTAATTAGATTACTTGTGTCACTCACATTTCGTCTATTAGTAAGTATTTATATTTTAGTTAACATTAGTAAACCTGCTAGGGACAATTTAATCTATTACTATTTCTTCTAAACATCGTTTTATTATTAATTTAATACATATACATATTTCAACGATTTAGAATAAATATTCACAGACAAGTGAATGTAAAGGAATTAGTTATTTAGTTAATTCGAGTTCAGTTTACTTGACTTTTACACTTTATTTTCCAGTCTAACAATCTTCGTAAAGGATGCAAACCAAATATTACTCATTTTAATTTTTGACTTTCTTTTACATTCATTATCAACAACTACAGATACTAAAATTGTATTTACCAAGTTAATGTATAAGCAGAATTTTCTACATTAACATAGAACTGGACTAGACTGAATTAACATACAAACAAAATTTACTAAATTAAGGATGGCTTGAAGAATATTTTGGCGACAGCCAAACGTTTCAAGCTACGATGATTTAGATGCAAACAATTTAGTACCAGATGAATATTGTAACAAATTTTATTTTTCAACGGAAGAGAACCCTTGAAAGCTTCGAAATCCAAACATGTTACGCCTTTCAGATAATTCTCTGATCAGAAATAACGTTTTGTAGAAAGAATCACAAAATTAA